TAGGGTGTGCTATCTCTGTGTGATTGACAAGGGATGCCTACATCTTCCACAGTGTGCCAATTGCTTTGCTCATGTGACCCAGGGCCACAAGATTGCCATATTTAGCAAATAAAGGTACAGGAGCCTGTTAAATGTGAATTTCAGATGATCAACAAGCCATATTTGTTTTGTTTTGTTTTGTTTTGTTTTTTTGAGACAGGGTCTCACTGTGTAGTGGAGACTGACCTGGAACTCACTATGTAGCCCAGGCTGGTCTCAAACTCACAGCAATCCTCCTGCCTCATCCTCCCAAGTGCTGGGATTATAGGCATGCGCCACCATGCCTCTGGAGAACTCACTATGTAGCCCAGGCTGGTCTCAAACTCACAGCAATCCTCCTGCCTCATCCTCCCAAGTGCTGGGATTATAGGCATGCGCCACCATGCCTGGCAACAAGCCATATTTTAATATACGTATGTACCATGTGATATTTTCCCAATACAGTAATATTTTAGAGTCAGTATGTCCCAAATGTTGTATGGGACACACATTAACACATTATTCATTGTTTATCTGAAATTCAAAATTAACTGGCCTCGTGTAGTTTATCTGGCAATGCTACCTAGGTGGAATGAAAACTGCTATGTAAGGGAAGGATGTGCTTTATTTTTTGTTTGTATTTAAGGGCCTAGGGTAGAATGGGGGAGGCGCAGTTGGGCCTGAGTCCAAAAGCAGGAAGAAAGATTTCACTTGTAGGGGGCTCAATGAAGGCCACTTTTGGGTGGCTTAGAAAATTCAGAGAGCTCTTTCAGCTCTGATAATTTCTGAGACTCAGACTTATTAGGGATTTTGTGAGGATGGATGAGGGAGATGACAGAGGGGGATAAGACTAAGGAATGGAAGCCCTGAAACAGCCTTGATCATTTCTTTGCTTGATATTAGGATGGCTGGATGCAAGTCAGTGGTGGGCATATGATTTTCTCTGTGTGGATGAAAAGGTAGAGCATCTAGACTACTCCAAATGCTCACACTTTCAATGATTCTGCTCTTGAAAATCTGATACCGTTTCTCCAAAGTAACACAACTCAGAAGGAAGATCAATCTGGGCAAGTTCAGTTTAACTCTAGGCTTTCACTCAGTGTCCATCTCTACCCTTCCCTCCTCTCCTAATAACAGTTATAGCCACTACCTGTATTTAGACAGCATTTCACAGTTCACAACATGACCAACCATCTGTTACTACTCATCATCTCCTATTTACAAATGAGGAAATCAGGACTCAAGAGACTTGTTCAGTGCTACACACACTGGGCTTCCTTCTCTTTGGATATTTTTTCTAACAAACATCAGTGAGTATTTACTACATGACTTTTGTTAGAGTCTGGGCTACGAGAACAATAAGACCCAGAACCACTCGGAGTTTCCAAACCATGGTGCAGGTGAGGAGTCAGGGTCAGAGAACAGATGCATGAAGAAGCGGGAATATCACAATTGATCAGGGGTCAGCCTTGATATAAATGGGTTGCAATGAAGGGGACCTTCTGCTCTTGCAGGCAGCTCTTGTCTTTTTAGGCTGGCTGCAGTCTCCAATTGCTGCTGCCTTGGTGCTGACCCTTGGCAGTGTCCTGGGGTCCCAGGCACTTGCTTCATAGCCCACCTGAGCTGTAATGACATAGCTTCTCCTTGTGGGAAGTGCAGATTGTTTTCCTGCTGGATTCCCACAGGACCCTGTAGAACATTTCTCTTCCTCTGTTCCACCATGGAGTCTAACCTTTTGTCAAAAAGAAATTCTTCTTGGGATCCAATTGTAAACAGAGTAAAAGAGCTGGTGCTCTGTTTTAAGAGGGGGCTATCAAGTCCAGAATCCTATGGTCAGCTTCCTTCTCACTGCCTTGCTGCATTTGCCCCTGTAGCAAGTCTCTCATCAGAAACCAGCAACTTTTCATGTCACCACAGGTCTCTCTCACAAATGGAAGTCCAAACTAAACTCATCATTTGCTTCACTGGCCCTTCAAGAAGTAATCTTCCTCCTATGTTCCTGCCTAGGAGCCAAATCCAAATCGGCCTGCTCTTGGAGCTCCTCTCCTGTGCACCACGGCCCAGGTTGGACTTTTTCCTGTGTGCCAGCACCCTTTCAGCCCCTGGCCTTTGCTCAGTGATTATGGTGATGGAACTCTGTTGCCCCAACAGGGGACAATCTCAGAAAAATTTCCCAACAGGAGCCTGGTTCCTGATAAGGGGTGAACCACCCCAACCTAAACAACAAAAATCAGTCAAATGAGGAGAGAGATCTGGGCCCAAAGACCTCTCTGGGCTGGTGAAAGTGCCCACGAGCCGTGTATTCTGCTTGGAAATGGACCTGGTCCTGCAAGTCAGTGTTACAGAGAGGAAAAGGATGAATTGTATATCAATCACAAGGTCACTTGGGTCTGGACAGCTACCCTGTGCCTGGAAGTTGTTTTCACTTGGCATTTGACACAAATCACCATTAGTGCTCAGAAGCTGAGCTTTACTGGTGAGTGCAAGCAGGATTACCTCCAGACTACTCATCCTGGAGTCCAGACTCTTAGAGATGACCCAGCTGCATTTTTCAGCCACTTCCCCCGCCCCCTTTTCTGTAGCCATCACTCCATCCAAGCAGGTGAGCTGCACCCAACATCCTCCAGGAATCTCTCTCGAGTGGCGCAAAGCCAGATGCAAGGAAGGTGCCCTGACTAGGGCAGGATGTATGGTGGGCACTCACCAATAGGACTCCCCTCCAGAGGCATCTGAGCCTCAGAAAGGAGATGGTTCAAGTGGGGTCCCTGTTTCAGAGGAGAATCACAGATTATATACATCTAGAATCTGAACACTTCCCTGTATCTCCACTATCACCTACCTAGCCGAAGGCACAGCTATCTGTGTAAGATTATTGCCATAGCCCCTCAAAAGGCTTCCCTTTCTTTCCTCACCCTTTAAAAATATAAACTAATCCTGTCTCTTCTCTCCTTAAAATTTGTCAAAGCCTCCCCATTTGGGCCATAATAGAAAGCCAAATATGTACCTTGGCCTCCAAGGCCCTCCACGAACTGGCACCTGCCAAAGTCTCTAACTTCACCTAGTTGGTTCCTTTAACTTACTTGGCTCAAGGCTTTGCTTGAAACCTGCTAGGCACACCTTATCCCGGGGCTGTGCACAGACTGTTCCCTCCGCCTGGAATACTGTCAGTTCAGAGAGCCACGGGGCTTACTTACTTCATCTCCTTAAAGCTTGTGCTCAAATGCCACCTTCTTGACGTGGCCTTCCTTTGGAAACGGTTGCTCCTACCTAATGCCTTCCCACCATTCAGCACCCAAGATCCTTCCTACTCTGTTCCAATATTTTTTCCTCACAACATTTGTCATCTTATATCCTACCATACAGTTAGGTAATTAATTTCTATCATCTGTCTTCCCTCACCAGAATGTAATCTTCTCCAATGCATAGATTTGTTTTACTTTATTTTCTTCAGGGATGGGAACACGGTTATCTAGAACAATGTTTGGCATGAACCATGTCCTCAATAATTATATATATTGCCTTTAAAGATCCTTTTGGTCATTTCCTCTTCTGTGTTCTTGGCCCACAGCCCACTGCTGGATTTAGATGCCTTAATATTCCTGTGTCTTCATCGCACACAGACATATATGTGAGGAGAGTCCCTCTACCGAGGTGGATGTATAAACAGCCATGCGTCAAGAACTAAGTGCACATTTACCTTCGTACATGCATATTCACATGCAAGGGCCACACATACCCAGATACTTACACTGAAAAATCAGATTTTCAATATTTATTTTTATTCTGAACTCAAGAAAATGTTTTGGCAAAATTCTATTATAAAATTCCAAACCTACCAAAAAGATGACTTATACAGTGAACCACTTATATCACAGCTAATATTTTTGCTACATTTGATTTATCACATATATATCCATCAATACATCCCTCTATCCATTCATCAATACATTTTGTATGCATTTCAGGGTAAACTGCAGACATAAGTGCTCATCACCGCTAAACACCTCAGCATTAATGAGAGTTCAATATTTACTTTGTTTGCTTTGTTTTGTTTTGGTACCGGGATCGAACTCGGGACCTTCAGCTTGTGAGAAAGGCGCTGGCACCACTGAGCTAAATCCCCGGCCTTCAGTATTTACTTTGGAGTTAAAATTGACATCAGTGAAGCGCAGTATCTTAATTGTACATTCACCAAAATTTGACAAGTGAGTTTTTGTCTGTGTAATTCAAAGTCCTATGAAGACAGAGAACATTACTCTCTATTCAGAACTTCCATCCAGACCCTTCCTAGTCAATCCTCTAGCAGAAGCAAATACTGCTCTTATTTTTCCATTGTAGTTCAGCCAACCTAGAATCTCATGCACACAGAATAATGTAATATGCGCTGAAATGTGTCAACACCTTTAATAAATAAAATGTGTTCAGTATATACTCTGAACTACTATGAACAGCAAGAAGACATCATAGAGATACAAGTGAGGTCTTTTCACTGGGAGTAATGAGTTTTTCCAGACTGATCAAATGGGCAAAGGCCTGGCCTGTGGCCTCTTCTCTTTAGCCCACCAGTTATTGAGAGAGCACAGAAACAAAAGCGGAGATGCAGGCCCGGCGTCCTATCTATCTGAGCCCTTGGCTCCTTCTTGCCTGTCACTCCCTTCCTTATTCCAGTCTGACCTTGGAGATCTCTCAAGAGCCTCCCTCCCTCTCACTTACTTTTCTGGGGAGTGTCACAATGTCATCCCAGGCTGAGCTCAAGTACAGGTAGGCAGGCAGTGGTAAGGAAATGGACAAGCAGAGGTGGTATGTGGTGTTGCAACTCTGTGGAGGAGTGTGACATGTGTGTGTGTGTGTGTGTGTGGTGGGTGGAGACTGGGCAGCTGCTGGAGAAGACAGCATGAAAAGAGGAAACATCCAAGGCCCCTGAGCAGACAGGGCTGGCCAGCCTAACAGCACTTACCTGGAGCCACTGGAACCCTAGAATAATGTTCTCATCCTCCAAGAAGAATCTCAAGACCATGCTGGAAGTCTTTGCTGTTTTCCAATGGTTCTTCAGTATCATCCTTATCAGTGAGTCTTCAGGCTTTGGTAAAGGGTGAAAAACCCTTCTGGTTTGCTTGGGATTGAAGAATTTCAATGCTGAAATTGGGGTCATCCCAAGCAAACCAGAACAATTGGTTGCCCTGGCCCGTGACCTGACCCACCTGGGCATGGTGTTTGTGAGATCCGTGAGTGATCAGGTGAGCATGTGTGCATTCATATGGGTGTGTACTTGTGCAGAGGACGTGTACATGCACATGTGTGTGCACAAGCCTGTGGCAGGTGGTCCGGTTAACTTTCCTGGGTCTAACCTGGGGTGTGGAGGGCATGTTGTAGGATGATGGGGAGCAGTTCTACTGAGGCTGGCCTAGGAGAAGGGCTTGATTACAACCATAGGGTTTCAAGCAAACCAGCAGTGTGAGAGATTTGACCTGAAGGCACAGGGAGGCTCTGGGAAACCGTCATCCACAGGAATTTGACCATTCTTTCATCCATCTCTCCAACATTTATACCAAAAGCTTTGCGAAAGTAACTTACATTTCTGGCTGTTTTGTTCTAGATGCTGAAACAAGCCAGTAGTGGGGGGGGGCTGGAAAAAATATTGCCTGTCAAGTGGTTCATATGAGTACTGGCTGAATCAAGGGCATGGAATTAAGGGACCTTGTAAGTTACCTAGAATGAAGAATGTGGGCAGGGCCTCAGAACTTGGAGCTGGCCCAGAAGCATGCCAGTGAAGAGGGAGGGTGGCCATCCTTTACCTCAGCTCACCACCAGGCTAGAAGCCAGGGAACAGAGAGCCTTGAGTGGGTACTAGTAGCCCCTAATACTAAAAAGAATGGTATAAATTAGTCTAGGAATGATGGCCAAGCTAGAAGAGACCAAAGAGATTTTTGTACTGTGTATTTTCACATCTATTATTTCATTTTCACATATGCCAATCTTATGGCATAGAAGCTATTATTGTGCATAATAATTCATGCTAACAGCTACACACACATAATGATAGCTAACACTCACTAGAATTAGCTAACATTATCTGCTCCCTTTGTCCATGCTAGGTGCTATCGTAAGCACCTTATTATGGCTAACAATCTGCATTATAAAGATGATGGAGCTGAAGTCCTCAGTGTAAAAGTGGTCTTTCCAAGGTTACATGGCTAGGATGTGGCTGGCAGTGGAGCTCACAAGGGCCTGAGGCCACCCTATGAGCTTTTTTCTTGTCCTTTATATTTACCCACTCACTGCTGGTTGGGAGGCTGGGTGTGGAAACTGGAGTAGGAGGAAGCCAGGCCTTTTGGATATATCAAAGGTCCTGAATGCAAGGTAGAAAAGATCAGCTCAGAATAGCCTCATAGTGCAGGTAGGGGACTCAGCTGGTCCTGTGTTCTCCCCCTGCTACGCGAGCCAGGTGAGCACTCTCCTCAGTAAAAGCTTCCCTATCTGGTGGGAGGGGCAGCCATTCTCACTGTCATCCCTCCAGCTGCTGGGTCTCAGGAAATTGGGAGGTGAATGTGCCAGGGAGAAAACAGATAAAGAGCAGTTTCCTCATCTGGGATGTGGTTCTTCCACATGGTTAACAAAATTTTTTTTATTGGGTTTATTGGTACATTTTAGGTAGGCAGTACAGTTGCATTCATCATTGGGATCCTGTACCTTTACATGACAGGTCTTGGTTCTCATTTTTTCCCCTTGTCCCTGCCCTCCCTTCACCCCCTCCCCCCCTCCCCATTTACAAACACTTCATTTCCATTTTTTCATTTT